TGGTAGCCAGGCTGTCATCCAGGCCAGGTGAGCTGCTCGCTAACACCTGCTCTTCCCTGAAGTGACATCTGACCACTTCCCGCCAATCATCCGCCGAGGGCCCGCCAATCAGACGCTGGCCGTGGGCGCCACAGCCCAGCTGACGTGCCGAGCGGGAACCTGCTGCCCAGCGTGCAGTGGCTGAAAGACGGGCAGCAGGTCGTGGGCAGGGACACCAGGGCCAGCCTCTCTGACAACGGGACTCTGCAGATCACAAACTCGCGCTGCACGGGCCGGCCAGGCCTCCTGGGGTCACCTTCACATGCTGGCCCTTGCTCGGGGCTGCCTGATTGCCCTGACCCGGGGCTAGACATCCACCCGACTGCCCCGGAGGTGAGGTTGCTCTCCCATGGAGACGAGGCCTCGCTCAGCTCTGGGGCTTGGCCCGAGGGCAGGGAGTCCCTCGGAGCGGGCAGCATTTGCACTGCAGCTGAGAACCCCCAGCCCAGCTCAGCCCAGCCCCCACCATCTGAGAACCCGTCTGGGCTAGCGGGGAGAAGGGAGAGCAGTGGTTTCTCCCCGCACTGCATGTGTGAGTTGCACTGCCTGTGGAGGTGGGGGGGACACAAGCGCACGTGTGCAAGAGCGTGTACGTCTGTGTGTCTGCGTGCACATGTAGGGGCAGGGTGCACACAAGCACACGTGTGTGAGAGCATGTCCGTCTGGGTGTCTGTGCATGCACATGTAGGGGCAGGGTGCACACAAGCACACGTGTGCGAGAGCGTGTCCGTCTGTGTGTCTGCGTGCACATGTAGGGGTAGGGTGCACACATGCACACGTGTGCGAGATCGCATACGTCTGGGTGTCTGTGCGTGCACATGTAGGGGCAGGGTGCACACATGCGCACGTGTGCGAGATCGCGTACGTCTGGGTGTCTGTGCGTGCACATGTAGGGGCAGGGTGCACACAAGCACACGTGTGTGAGAGCATGTCCGTCTGGGTGTCTGTGCATGCACATGTAGGGGCAGGGTGCACACAAGCGCACGTGTGCGAGAGCGTGTCCGTCTGTGTGTCTGCGTGCACATGTAGGGGTAGGGTGCACACATGCACACGTGTGCGAGATCGCATACGTCTGGGTGTCTGTGCGTGCACATGTAGGGGCAGGGTGCACACAAGCACACGTGTGTGAGAGCATGTCCGTCTGGGTGTCTGTGCATGCACATGTAGGGGCAGGGTGCACACAAGCGCACGTGTGCGAGAGCGTGTCCGTCTGTGTGTCTGCGTGCACATGTAGGGGTAGGGTGCACACATGCATCCTCTCCTGGGGAGCCAGAGGTGTCAGCGCTGCCAGGTGGAGCACCTGGCCCAGCAGCCTGCCCCCCAAAGGGATCCCGCGGGTCGCCTGTGACGGCGCGTTGGGGTTTTCCCGCCTCCTGCACCCCCGTAGTGGCACGGACAGACTCCACCAGCCAGTAGAACAGAGGG